TTGGCACTGAAATCCATTACAGATGATTCGTGGGTGGGTATGTCTCTGATAAATAACCACAGATGGGAACATTATTATAAGGGATATAGGGGAAGTACCATATTTGACTCCCAAACCCAACTCCCATCTCAAAAAGGGACAAATTCCGCCCAAGAAGCTCCCAAGAGCATGAAGGTACACAGCACCTGTGTCAGGTGAGATCCTGGTGGAGCTTTGGCTTAATGTATCAACATTAAGGTGTGTCTCATCCTAAACTATCTCAGCAGATCTCATTCCACCTCAAAGAGCTGGTGGTTGGACCAGAGTTCCGGCAGCCGCTGCCGCTGCGGCTGCCACTGGGGAAGCCCCAATGAATAGTTAATCTTGCTGTTTTCCTTTGGGGCCTGGCTAAGCCTCTGTTTGTAATAGTGTTGGCTTAATTCTGGATCATGCCCTAAACTAAGGATGAAGATGAGGCTGTTTTACCCCCGCTGTGGCCTCTGATTACGCTACGTCGTGACCACTGCCACTTCCTGTTTCCCTGCTGCAGCCCCTCTGTGCACCACCCACGTCAGCTGCATGTGGGTGAAAGGGCAAAGAACAGGATGTAGGAGCCTAACATGACCCGCAAGTCACTCACCATCACCGACATTTTAACTGGAAAGAATTCTAGTGGTCATGTGGGTCACTTGATCTCAGCCACACTGGGGCCATAGATCTCCCTGATAATCAGATGAAAGTGGTCAAACCCTCTCTCCGGAAAGAAAGCATCTCCTCAGACGTTGGGTACAATTCCAGGATATTTCACAGCTCCCTGCTACCCATCCATCTAGATGACGCCTTTTATTCTGCAGATAAGGATATGGAGACCCAAAAGAGGTGCTGGGTCCTGCCCAAGGTTACACAGAGGTGATAACTGAATTCAAACTCAGCTGTCCTGATTCCCATTGTGGGATCCATCAGCCAATACTATGAGGTTTCCACTCTATGTTGAGCCCTATATTGGGGATTATAGAAAGTTAGGGTGCTTACCAGCAAAGAAATAGAACTTGGGTTCATGAAAGGAATCTGAGATCAATCAGTAAGCAATATTCGTGCCATAGGTTCTTCTTTGGAAAGTAGAAGCTGATGTCTTCCGGTAATTCAGCAGTCATGTGTTGAGCACCTACGAGCATCTCCTAAAGGCTCTTAATCATTGGGAGATTTATTATTTATTGGAAATTAAGACTCTTTGTCATCTCCAGCCTGAAGAAGATGTTGAGGTCCTCAAACTGATTTTTTTGTAGCTTTTTTTTTCAGGTCCTCACCCTGAAACGTTGACTGTGAAGGTGCTTGGTATTTCATGGACTTGGATGCAAGAATTAAGTGTCATATTGAAGAAGGAGTCCAGAGTTGGAACTGAAAGCTACCTAGGTAGATTCTACTGCAGCCTCAGCAGAAAAGCTCCAAGTCGTTGGGGAGTTCCCAATAATAGCTACTCAGGACATACATTTTTCGGTAGCAGGAAGAGAATCAGAGTCCAGTTTCATCTTTCTGGAAAGAAATAGGAAGTACTCTTGATTGATATTTATCTTCTCGGTTGGGTGCCAAGAGGCAGCCTTTTATCCCTGGAGGAGTCTGGTTGTGAAGCCTGGAGACTTGCCCTGAATCTGAGCTTCTCTACCGATGGGCTGTGTGACTGCAGGCAGCTCTTTTACTTCTCTGAGCCTTGGTTTTCTCATTTGAAACTGGAAATAATAATACTATCCTGACCTTGTAGTTGTTGAGTCAACATAAATGACTCCTCTCCCTAGCTTGACAGTCTATTCTTTCTTTTGTAGCAAATATTTTCTTCCATCTTATATTTTGGGGAGTAGCTTCCCAGTCTGTCTCTCCCACTAGATGGTAACTCATTAAGGGCAGGAACTCAGCCTTTCTTTTTTTTACAATGTTTCTTCTAGCAATGTCAGATTCTGAGACACTTCAATTAATTTTGGCTTTAGATTGAGTTTCTCTCCAACACTCCACTCTCTATGTGGTGTGTCTACATTTTTCAGTGTATCCAGTGACCATGTATGCCATAAATTATTGGCTTTGGGGCCCAAAACTCAGAGTAGAAAGGTAAAGCAATATAATGGAGAGAGTACATGAAGGAGATATGGATTTGATTTGATTTTCCATGGCTGATTTGCTCTGTGACATTGGGCAAACTGTGTAACCTCTGTGGGCCTTCATCTGTGTCACCATTCCTGCCTATCTGCGATGGTGTCATGGCTGCCATATTACATCTGAGATATTTTCTGGTGCAAACTGGTGGGTTTGGTGGTAAGAGAACTCAGCCCTTCTTATCTTTGCAGCCCCCAAAGCCAAGGGCGCCATTTTGTATGCAGTGGAGGTATTAGTTGGGGCCCAATTGGGAGGCATAAACCACACAATAATTTGAACAGGAAGAGTATATAAGTAATATAAGGAATTATTAAACTTTGATTGGAGTAACCATAAAGATGTAAAGAGAAGTCAAAGGCTAAGGGAGTAGACACAAGCAAGAACAAACTTGAAAGGGGTCCACCTCCATGGCTGGAGTTCAGACCTCCTTGCAGGAGTTGTGGTTGTAGCCCACTGGATGGCAGAGAAGTTTGCTGGGTTTCCTGGACCAGAGCTTGTCCACAGTTGCTGGGCAGCAGAAAACAGCCCTCTGGGTTCAGGTGAGATGAGACTGGTGGGCAGGTATATAGGGTCAGGGCACCACTGGCAGTGCGAGGCCGGGCACACATGGTGCCTAAATCACGAGGGCCACGTTGAAGGCCAGGACTCCGAGGCCACCAGGCAACTGTGTACTCCGGGCATGCAGCTGGGACAGAGCAGCACCGCATGTCCCCGTCCTCCCCCCCACCCCCACCCCAACAGGTTCTGCAGCAGGAATAAGATTCAGACCAGGAAGAGAAGCACCCTTCTTCCTGCAGGGTCCCCCTAATAAATGGCTTAGTGTCCTACTCGCTGTCAAGGAGAAGTGCTTACAGGGTCCAGTCTGTTATCTCAGAGCAGAGACTTAAGGGTGAACTTGGAGCAGAAGGGCAATAATGTAACAATGTGATAATGGGTGATCCAAAAGTATTTGAATTAAATTAGGAAAAGCCACCTAATCTGTCAATAACTCCCTTAACCCCTGTTCATTTTCCCTTCTTTCAGTCCCATAAATTTTACCACCAATAGATGTCAAAGCTCTCTAACTTCTCTTGTAATTTACTCTCTAGCAGCTCATTTGCCTCTGGGGCGTTCCCTTCTGTTTTGTTTTCTTAATGAGGCACATGTCTTCTCTTGCACACACTTTAAAAGAGATTCAGGCGAAGAGAGAGAAACACACAAACACCCTGAGACCCAGTGTTTCATTTCACAACTTATTTCTCCACTCAACCTTGAACTTACTTTCCTTCCGTCTCTCCATTCCATCTCAAAGCAATCAACCTGTCCCTCCCAAACACATTGAGAGTGTCCCCAAGCTCTTGACTTCAACTGGCCATGGAAGGAGTCAGAGCTGATACAGGAACCAGTCTTTCTCTGCCTTTATGGAAAATGCAGTGGCCTCCCCAAGTCAGACTGGGGAGTTAATCTTGAATAAATCTGAAGAGTCCAGTATCTAATCATTATAGAAGAAAATTGGTGACAGAGCAAACAGCAGACTGGGCAGATAATAATCAGCACAGATATTATTCAGAAAGCATTTGGAAAGGACTAGGAGTTTCAACTTGTAAAGAGCCCTCCAGATGCTCTCCTGCAGGAGAGTGTGTTATTAATAGGCTCCAAATTTGTGTCAAGACAATGTTCTTCGGCGTCAACCACTCTGTTCTTTCAAAATATTTCATTCTCTTCTAGAGAGTCAGATTTAACTAGTGTTAGTGGATGATTCCCTTGTAGGAATTAGCTAAACAGTGAGATAGGGCTACAGTTAAGACTTTCTCCAAGGATCAAGTGATTTGCAAACTTAATCTGTTTACTATCCTTCAGAAGTGTATCCCTTTAGATCAGAAAAAGTGGCAATGGGAAAAAGTAGAGGAACTTAATCTTTCTACTAGAGTGTACATCTATATATGTGGCTGTCTGACATATTTCTTTTTTTTTTTTTTTTTTTGCGGTACGCGGGCCTCTCACTGTTGTGGCCTCTCCTGTTGCGGAGCACAGGCTCCGGACACGCAGGCTCAGCGGCCATGGCTCACGGGCCCAGCCGCTCCGCGGCATGTGGGATCTTCCCGGACTGGGGCACAAACCCGCGTCCCCTGCATCAGCAGGCAGACTCTCAACCACTGCGCCACCAGGGAAACACTGTCTTACATATTTCTTTGCAAGTGTTGGACATTCTGGGCCAGTGGAATCAAGCGTAGCTTGGCAGGAAGCCATCTCAGTACTTTTTCAAGCTCCACCTTCTTACCACTGTGTGTACCAAGGAAATCATGCTCTTAAATGATCAAGAATAAGACAATGGGTAATGGGATTATGGACAATCTTTATTTTCTTCTTTTTTGTTTATCTGTATTTTCTTCAATGAGTGTGTGTTATTTCTAATATTAAATATATGTAAACATTGTAATGAAAAAAAAACCCCACATTTTTCTTCTCTAAATCTCAGGCTGTATTACTGCTTTTTGTCTCCTATCTACCCAGAACCTTTTTAGCCTCTTCCCTCCCCCTGTTTAGATTAACTGCCAAAAATCAGCAGACTTCCTTTTTGGAAGAAACTTTTGGAAGAGATTTATTTCTTCACTCTTGAACTACTAAAAACAGCCTGTTTTTCTTCTTCCCCTAACCAAGTGGTGATTGATGCTACACCTGCCTCTGGTGTGACAAAATGTAAGCGATGAATAAAACCTTTTCGTGATTGTTGCACATTCGGCGGCAGCGTAGAGCTCTCCCCGGGGGCACTGAGCCATGTGAAGATGCTCTGTGGGGAGTTATTCCGCCTCAGGCACCGTTGGGCCAACTTGCAGGCACCTTGAGGATCTCACCCACTATCACTAACCTTTGATACTGTTGCTGTGCTCTTTCAGATTTTTGACAATGAAGCCAAAGATCTGGAGAGAGAAGTGTGCTTTATCGATATTGCCTGCGATGAAATTCCAGAACGTTACTACAAAGAATCTGAGGTGAGCAATAGATGGGGTGACATGTGGAAGAGAGTCATTCAATCATTCATTCAACAAACATTTATTAAGTCCACACTGACCTGGGACACTTCCATCTGTCTTTGTGTTGATTCAATTTGCTTTCACATCTTGCTGGACTCTTTACTGCGGGTCTCAAAATGAAGTCCCTACTGCTTGGGGCCCGTGGTTAACCCCGGCTGCCACTCAATTTCAATGTAGTCTCCTATCTCCCCAGCTCTGCCATCAATCTGGGCAGCAAAATACTCACAAGGCTGAACCACCCAACGATAACTGGCCTATAAAATGCAGCAGCCACCTCTGGCTTCCTGTTTGGCCAGGCCTGGGCCCAGCCTGTCTCCCCCCCTCTGCAGGAGCTGTGTTTTATTTGTACCTTTGGGGTCTAACACAAAGAAAATGCTCCATCAATCCTCCCTGAGTGCATATTGAAACTTGGACAGCTCATCTCTGCACAGAACCTTTCTCTCAAAACCAGAAGTGCCTTCATGCAGCCCTCTCTTTTTTTCATCTTGACTAAGAATAAATTTAAGAGAATATGTGTCTGTATGACTCCCACCTACCAGAATCCATTGTGTGCCTCAGTGCGAACTTGCTATTTTACTGTTAGTGCAAGTCCCCATTTGTATCCTGTTAGTATTTTATTAATGGCTGCTGACGGAACTTGGGTGACCCCCTTGGAAATAACGTCCCAGCCCTGCAATGACAACAGATGCTGGGCTATTTTTGTTGTTTAGCAACATTCAGCCAATCACAATATGTTTGGAGTTGGGGCCCCAGTCTCGTCCTTGAGCTGTAACACATGGACCTTGAAACTCTTCCCTCAGCTTGGTTAGGGCTGATTTAAGACATAATAAATAAACCCGGTAAAAATGAATTCTACCGTGACACACACTGGGCTCCCAATGTGGTTCAGATTTTTTTTGCTTCCACCTTTTGGGATTCGTTTGGATATCAGAGTCTAACCCAATGTTAGCAAATGCTTAGCTGCTTAATTGCAGGCATGGGCTCTGCAGCTGCTGTCTCTTTAAAGTCGGGGAGAGGCTGATGTGAATTACTCTTGGTGGGACTCAAGGATGAGCTTTTGAACGTCATCCATTTACATTACATTCTGCAGCCAACCACACTTGTGAATTTTCAGAAGAACAAAATGAAATGCTCTCTGTATAACTGTGGACCTGCTCAAGAGGAGAAGCTTGGCCTCCCCTTGTCTTAGAGGAGGTACTTCTGTGGTTTCATCTCAAGGCCACCAGTACTTATGGGGCTTCAGTGATGTGCAAAGCATCATGCAGTGCATTGGGTGAAGCTGTTGCCCCGTCGCTTCTGTGGCTCCTTGGGCCTGGGGGGCTGCTGTCTTACCTGGACGTCCTGGCCTCTTTGGTAGCTCAAGCCTTCTAGAAAGGCAGCGTTGCCAGAAAACTCTGAACTGATTTCAGCTCTTCCTCTTAGATAGCTTTGGTGTGGTCCTGCCTGGCACTCAGGGAGTTCCCTTCTGATTCGGAGGAAAGTCTTAGGACAGATATGGAACACTAATGACAAAATCAACACGTCTCATTTCTAGTCATCGTGTACCTGACTTATCTCCCTGTGCATTGTGCTCCCAAGAACCACCACTGGAAAGCTTTTTCTCATTGACACAGATGTTCAAGGACCATTTTTTCATGTTTCACAGTCATTCATTTTCCTGGGTCATAAAATATTCTTTTCTAGATGCAGTTTGACCAAGGAAATGAGAGGGGAATAGTCATTCATCCAGTAAATATGTACTGAGTACTCACTGAGTGTCACAGACAATATTTAGATGGGGACATGGCAATGAACAGAAGAGACACTGAGGGTGTCTAGCAGGGGAGCCAAACAACAAAGAAATAACTACATGAGCACATATGGAGTAAAAGTCACAGGTGCCATAAGGAAGCTTGCAGGGAGAGACCACGATAGGGAAACTGAATTTAAGAGGATGGGATCAGGAATGATGCTCAGGGAGAAATGGCCTGCTGGGACCCGCAGGATGAAAAGAGCTGGGGGACAGTGCTCCAGGGGGAGGTGACAGCATGCATGGGAGTCCCAAGGTGTTACCTATAAGGAAACAAAAGAAGGCCAGTGTGGTTGCAGCAGCAGAAACAGAAGGAAGAATGGCACAAAGGGAGGTTGGAAAAGAGGGTGGGATCATGTTAAGACGCTTAGATTTTATTTACATGCAGTAGGATGCCTTCGAAGAAATTAAAGCTGGGACATCATATGATCCGATTTGTGCTTTTAAAAGATTGCTCTGGATGGAGAAGGGACCGGCCGGGAGCAGAGTGGAAGTCAGGAAACCACTGAGGTCATCGGAGTTGTCTACCTTGTTGATTATTGAAGTTATATGGCAACTTGAAGTGGAGGGCTGGGAGCAGATGGCTTGGAGGTATATTTTAAAGAGAGACTTGACAGGGATTGGTCGTGGACTGGGTGTGAAGGTGAGAGAAGAGGAAGAGTCAGGATGACCTTAAGGTTTACAGCTTGGGCAACAGATAGATGGGGGTGAGAAGAGGAGTGGATTTTGGAGAAAGATGGATGGATTTTGTGATGACAGTGAGACATCTAGAACAAATAGAAGTGGGTCTGGAGCTTAAATGAGAGATCTGGGCTGGAGACAAATTGGAGAGTATTTGGGAAATAGAAGAATTTAAAGTCCTGAGGATGGATGAGAGTGAGCAAGCGTACAGTATAATGGGAAAGGGGTTCGGGTCCGAGCATTAAATTTAGGACAGCAATATTTGGAGATCAGGAAGAGGATGAGGAGGCCCCAGGGATCTACAAAGAATTGGCCAGAGAATTAGAAGGAAAACAAGGAGAGAGCACCAAGGAATGCAAGTTTCAAGAGAGGAGAGGGATTGGTTATGCTTAATGCTGGTGAGAGATCAAATAAGATGAGAATGGAAAACTGTCTCTAAGAGCAGTGGTTTTCCACTGGGGGCGATCTTGCCCCACAAGGATGCTTACAATGTCTGGAGACATTTTTTTTTAAGATTTTTATTTATTTATTTATTTATTTTTGGCTGTGTCAGATCTTAGTTGTGGCACGCGGGATCTTCATTGAGGCACGCGGGATCTTTTGTTGTGGCGTGTGGGCTCCTCTCTAGTTGTGGTGCACAGGCTCCAGGGCGTGAGGGCTCTGTACTTGTGGTGCACGGGTTCCAGAGCACATGGGCTCTGTAGTTTGTGGCATGCAGGCTCTCTAGTTGAGGCGTAGAGCTCAGTAGTTGTGGCGCTCGCGCTTAGTTGCCCCGCGGCATGTAGGATCTTAGTTCCCTGACCAGGGATCGACCCCGGCATTGTAAGGTGGATTCTTTACCACTGGACCACCAGGGAAGTCCCTGGAGACATTTTTGGTTGTCACAACTTGGGAGTGCTACCAGCCACTAACCACATCCTATAATGAACAGGACAGCCCGCCACAACAAGAGTGATGGACCCTCAAATGTCAGTATGCCAAGGCTGGGAAATCCTGCCCTGAAAGTAAAGGTCGTTGGAGATGAATGGAGGTCTGGACTCAGCTCTCACACTCAGAGCCACCCCTGCCTGTCCTGGAGTCTTACTTAATGGATGTGGAGGAAGGGGGCCCCAGAGGGCTCAGCCCTGCACACTCTGTCAAGCCCTGCTTCCCAAACGATCACCAGCCTACATTACGGGTAGAATTTTTTCTCACTCGCCCTGGCAGTTAGACCACAGAGGAAAAGGCAGACTTGGGAGCCTGCAATAAAATAATAGGAAAAGTATGTTCCGTGGGACTCCCTTATGACCTAAACCCACCATCATTGGACTTCCAGAATCCACACTGCAGTATGAGCCTACCAGAAGGGAGAGAAGTGAGTGTCCTAGGCTGTTTAGGTTGTGTGTCAGTAGCCAGGGACAGAGAATAAGGGAAACAACCGATTCAGAAGGCAAACCACTTCCAAATACATTTCTCCTCTGCACACTGTAAATAATTAACATCCTCCTCCCTGCCACAAGAATTTCCTTCTAAAATGAAATCTGACCTTGTCATTTTCTGCTTAAAAGCCTGGTCCCCTTAGCATGGTCCTCTGCCTTCTCCCCTCCAGCCCTCCCCACCTCTGTTCCTCTCAATTTGGAAGCTTCTAGTCATTACTCTTTAGAGTGCAGCTCAAATGTGACTTCTCCTCTTTGGACTCTCCTGGGCACCCCACTCCCTACCCACTGGCAGCAAGGATTCTGGTCTGTGGCTTCTAGATCATGCTGGCTCGTGCTAGCTCACAGTTATACCCTGAGCTCCACGAAGACAAGGGTTGTCGTCTTCATCACCATTCCCCAGCAGCTAGGACAGAACCAGCACATAGCAGCCACTCACAAAACGGTTGTTGAATGAATGAGTGAAAGCCATGGGCTTTATTTTTTCCTTCTAGCAGTGACAATTTCGGAGCGAGCACTATCAATGAAAATGCATTTGTGGCCATTAAGCTAACAGTAGTGAATCAGAGTTCCTTATATATATATATTTTCTTTCTATGTCAGCGTCGTAAATAGGAACGCATTTTCTGCAGAGAAAGCTGAAATGCTGGTGGGCTCAGTCTATTCTGAGACTTTGAGGCTTATGCATTCAGACCAGGGTTATCTGGGTCACCACTCAGCTCCCGTCACACACACACACACACACACACACACACACACACACACACACACACAACCCCCTCCATCCAGGCCGAAGCAGGGGATTGAAGTAATTTCTTTTCTTTTTCCATTTGTCCCTGGAAACCTCCGAACCACATGAGGCAAGAATGCCTCTCTCACTAAGGTGACCAGAGCTGGAAGTTTTCCGCTGGGTGCCCTCTGCCTGGTGGCACAAGGGCCCCCACTAAGCAGAGTTTCAGAAGGACTCCGGAGACTCAGCATCGGCCGGTAGCTCAGCCCAGCGCTCTCTTTATTCTCATTTTGTGGTGCCGTTGTTTCCCAGCCACATCAGGGGCCTAAGCTGCAGCTCCCGA